GAGTCCGCCTAACTGCAAACACATGCCGGCATGGCAGTCTCATAGCGTTCCAAAAGGAACAATTGCAGTTAGTTTTTGTTGTTGACGTGTTGCCAGACGACGCCTCGAATGTGAACACATCTGCTTTTTGGTCACTTGGTACTCGCTTGGCTGACAGGTAGATCTGCTCCCTTACAAGCTTAAAGGCATAGGGAGTCAATGATTCCTGATACATAGCTTCTTCAGGGCTAGAAGGTGCTTTGCAAGGTCTTTTGGATATGCTTGTCAATGCTCTGTGGTCACGTTCATCGCTCAAGGCGTTCAATACTGTGAAAAGTGAGCACACAAACTCTTCAAGGGAGCTATTCTTTTTTATAACACTTTTCAGTTTTGCGTTCAGACTTTCAATTCTGTTGTTGGTAGTGTTGTTAAAGTTTTCAGACATAAACTTGGGTCCAGTGTACCACTCATCCTTGATGGGACGCCAGTTTTTGTCATAGTAAGAGCGGATCTCTTGGCAAACATTATTGTCAAATTCCAGTTGAAGCTCCTCAAATTTTTCACTCGATCGTGACAGGACCATCTTCTGGAGCAGTGCCAGGGCTTGGTCCCTTTCCTCTGCAGTGATGTTCATCTTGTTGCAGGCAATCTCGCGTCGAAAAGTCTTTAAAGTGTGGAACACACAGATGAGCACCTTCGACTGCGGGAAGCTTTCTTTGAGAAGGTCACGCTCCAAAAGGTCCTTGTCTGCCATGACACACTTTACTTTTGGCCAAGATGGGTGCAGTTCCTTGAACTTTTCCAACATCCATTTGATAGTGGGTGCAGACTCATTCACAAGAATTGCAACACATACTGTCTCTGTGTCTCCATTGGAGTCTTCAACGTGCATCACATAGACTGGTGTTCGTATTTCTAGAAGCTTGTAGGTGGCATCAATTCCTAGGAATTCTGGGTAGGCATCCATATTTGACCGCATAGACTCATTGGACAGCAAAATTCCTTGGAAGTTTTCCCCATCAGCAAGGATGTGGTAGTCTGTACCTGTAGAAATAAATTTCATGGTCTAAATGTAAAAGATTTGGCCGACTGTACATACGAGTTTCTCTGAAGCCCACTGGAAAACCCAGATGCAATTATTTAAAAACTTGTGCTACAATATCAGGTGCTTACCATGCTCATTTTGCAGAAGAGCTGCAGTCTTAATGAGGTCATTCCTTGTCTGTGGTCTGAGGGAAGAGGCCGCATTGCTCAAGTCTTTGAGCAGGACAAGTTTCCCCGTCTTTTCTTCTATCCTTTTCTTAACCAACTTCTTGTTGGCATGCAAAGCCAAGAGCTGTGTGGCTTCCTCCTTGGCCCCTGGTTCTCTTAATGCTCTGGTTTGTGGCAGGTGGCTGTAGAGTAACTGCAATAAAATAAACTTTTCATTCAATGTTAAACTGAACTACATATGCAATTATAGGTTAACTGCATTATGCAATGTCAAGCTCACAGAGTGAAGCAAACAAGTGCAGACAACATTCTGCATATATGGCATCTAGGTTCTTAGCACAAGCAAGCTCACTTCAATCTCACCTTATCATGCTTGTAACTGTAAATCTGTGTTTCCTATATATGGCTCGCATGTGATGTCAAGGACACAGTTCCTGAATGTAGTAGCACTGTAGAATGGCGGCTTTGATGACAAGCAAGTTGCAGTTAATCTGCCTCAATGTAATAATGATGCAGCAGGAATTCCTCTGAGTGTGAATAAGAAATGAACCTGCATGTACTGCTTTGATCCCATTAATTTGACATCGCAAAACTTCGCATCCCCTGTGCTGGTGCTACCAGCTCAATGAGAATTGAGCGAGAACATTTTGCGCGATCAAGTAAGCACGTCAAACATTTCGTCAAAAGTATATTTCAGTGGTGCATGTCACCCTGTATAACCTCAAAACTCAGGTTTGTTTCTGTGAAAAAACAGAACTGAACTTCACTAACCAATATGAACAGGTAACAGCAAAAGCTGTATTGGCTTAATTTAACAACACATGGTGAGGGATGAAGGACAGGGCATTAAGATACTGTCGCACACTTTTAAGGATGCTTAGGAACTCCATACCTTCGATAACTCATGGTTGTGGTCCTCATTCATTTCAATAACCTCCAGGAAGTTCCCATCGTCAGAGGCCCTGCACTTCACGAACGCCGGACATCCAGCCTGAAAGGTGCTGAAAGTGATCCGTTGTCACATGCTCAATGTCTCTCAGGAAACAATCGTCTAAATGCATGATGTGTACAACGCAACCACGTCGCTGACCATGGTGGATTGGCAGCACAGAAAGAAACACAAAGGAAACAATGACCAGTGCTGGCCCTCACCTGGTATCTCTTTCCCCCTTGCTGCGGCTCTTGAAAGACTTGCCCCCCTTGATACAGCAGTAAACCACCTGATACATTCCAAGTCGTTCGTTCAGAAAACGCTTCACTTTGGTCTTCGCCGCTGTGACAGTTCGACAGTCACGTTTGTAAAACTGCACGAACTTCTCTTCACTGTATCCTTTCACAGCAGCTTCCAGTTCCCTGAACGTTGGAAATTTGTCCCCAACTTTCATTTTGCTGCCAGCCATCACACGAGCTGCGGAACGGGAACACTTGACTGGCGCCGCACGTGCTGCGGAACGGTCACCACAGAACACCTGTAACACGCTGACTGAAGAGACGGGAGAATGGCGCCACACAAGTAGGACGGATAAGACTATGGATAAGACAGACTCACAGAACACCTGACAGACTCGGACGGACTCCAAGAACTGGATTGGAATGGATTGATTTGTACTACTTGCATCGAAATCGACCCGATGGCGAAAACTTTTTTTTTTTCCTAATCAAGCGATATAATAGCTGCGTGTAAACCACGGAGGAATAAACATTTCCGTGGTATAAACCAAGCTTGAGTAGGCGAGAAAGTGCAACCCGTGCAACGTCTGATGTAACCGGTGCAACGTCTGCGCGTCCAACTACAAACTCGTTGACGAAAACTTTTTTTTTCTCGGATCCGCGCGTCTAAGAGGTCAGTCGTGCGAACTGCTTGAAAACGACGGACGGGCAGGTGGAACTTGAGTCGCTTGAGTGAAAACTTGCGAGAAAGCGCACGTCGGACGTACCTTTAGCTTTTAGTATTCTGGTACGTCCGAAGTATCTTTAGACTCACGGTTTCGGGTACGTCGGACGTACCTTTAGCTTTTGGTATTCGGGTACGTCCGACGTACCTTTAGACACAGCGTTGAACAAAAGGAAAAGAATTATTGGGATCCATTGGTGTGTTCTGTGCATGCATCGGAACATGCATGTAGTGCTTTCATGGCATGCAAGCACTCTACAATGCAATATAAGAAGGTAGTCTGACTACAACAGTTGAAAAGGAAGACAAACACTGTGGAATGAAACATCATCGCAGACAACAACAAAAAAGACTACACGAGCACTTCCATAAATGATGCGCTTAAGGTGTGCAAATATTCATATCAAATCGAACGGTGTCCAAATTTGTAACAGATTTTTTTTTAGCGTTGTTGTAAAATGTTTACATCTGAATCCTGCCACGAATGAAGCGCAGTGAACAAATTAACGGGCTCCGCGAATGACGTATTCTGGCGGGCTACGTAAGCCCACGTTTTCACGGGCGATGTCTGGTGCATTTTGATGTGAAGACTCGGTGATGTAGACAAGGCGATTACACGGCGAAAACGACTTTAATAATAATAATAAACAGGAGCTAACAGGGAGCTAATAACAGGAGCTAATAAACAGGAGCAAATAATAAACAGGAGCTACGGCATCCATACAGTCGTGGTTAACGCGCGCCTAGGAACAACTACGAAGCTAGCGTCCCGACCATCTCAACATGTAACACAAGGCTGCCAAATTACCCGCAGTCTCGCATCAAAATAGCTATTTCCGAAGAACGCTCGCACTTGACGGATATTGGCGCACCCCGTTCAGTGTCGATAAATATCCAAGTGACTAGGGCACACGAGGCCGAATTGGGGGTTCGTACCTCGCTCTTGGTCCAGCGTGTCATGTCGTCCGGCGTAAGGACCTGACGTCTGGGCTCCACGAAATCGGGCACATCGCCGCTGTCTGCGCCAAAGACGGGTCACGGTAAACAACACGCCGTGAGCAACCGTGCGAGCCTTTTACCTGACATCATGACGGCGCCTTGGCACAAATCACAAACACTGCCGTTCAACGCTATTCATGCTGCTGGTTCGCCTTTTGATGCCAGGTGACGCTCCTATTAAAAACAAAAAATAAATGATTGGTCTTCCGTCGGCCTTGATACAAACGACTTTCCCAAAATCGCTGGGCATTGCTAGCTAGCAACGTCACTGCGGCACGACGGTAGCGGTTGGCGCAACACCCCCCCCCCCCCCCCCCCCACCGCGCATTCCGTTACCTTTCGAAAAGGCGAGAGCCGAACAAACGTCGAATCTCTACCGCGACCAGAGAATTTCGTTGGTGGAGATCTCGGAGAGAAGCAGACCCGGGAAGGCGCCGTTCGCATGAGGTGGACACACAGAACACCTACCAACAGGGCGAGACCAGCCGACATCTGTAATGATGATGATTGTAATATCTCATCGTCTCAAAAGCATACGGTAACAATGCACGGGTATTGGGCGCACGCGATATAAGCGCGAAAACTGCAGTAACAAAAAAGTAAACGCAATACAAGGGCGAGGTTAGAAGTGTGCCAAATCATGCGCCTTGATATTATCATCGTCATCACGACGCTCCCGCGATCGTTTGCTTCTTTCATCACCCCCTCGTTTCCGGTTGACCGCCATTCGCAGCTGTCGAAAAATCGGCCAAGTTGCGTAGCTTAACGACCTGGATCAGGCATTTAAACATCCTACGGCTAAAAAGCTCCCTTCACCGCTATTCTGCAAAACACTTCCAACAACCTGGAAAGCAATGGTGCCGCAACGCCTGTTCGGTCACCGAACAAGCGTTGCGACGAGGAAGCAAGAAGGCAGTGCTCAAAAAATGTACATTTATTACAAGACACAATGCGTGCGTAAAACGGTGCTCGAAAATGTACAATTATTACAAACCACAATGCGTGCGTATCAAAACAATAGGATGTTTTTAGTTGTTTTTTTTTTTACAGAAACACTGGCATCTGTACAAGGCGTATGAGTCCTATTTACAGGCGAGCGATGAGAGTGGGCGGCGAAGAACCTCAGACGGTGAGCGCCAACACAGGCGGTGAAAATGCAGTCCGGTGCACATCGGACTGCGCGGCACACATGTCGGGCAACGAGGCACTGCGTCGGAGTTGCGATTCCTCCAAGGACGGCTGGCAGTTATCCCAGGACGATGAGAGACCCTTCAGTCCAGAATTGAAGGCCAGAACCAAGTTTGATATGGACTCGACCTCCATCGCGTCTACTTCCTGTAGGTCATCCTGATCGGAGTCGTCGGAATCGCAGGACGAAGAGCGTCTCCAGAGGCGGCTGCGCTTCGCACCGTTTTCCTCGTCTTCCGCGTGAGCGCGACGACGCTTGAGGTAGCGGATAGAAGGCGTCGATGCTTCGGTCGGCGGCTCCACGTTCTCCTTGTCGTCGCCGCCGTCCGTGCTGGCGCAATCCTCGTACGCTGACGTCATGGGCGACGTCACCATCCGGTTAGGCTTAGCGAGAGGCTCTTCGACGCCGACTTGCTCGGCTACTTCGTCGTCGTCGTTAGGGCACGGCGCGCACACCACGGACGACAGAGACGAACCCTTCGTCTGTAGGGCATCGTCGACGTACGACGTTCGGGCTTTGTAGAGTACATTGGCCACGAGCAGGCTACGATGCAGGTTGGGCCCACCACGCTGAACTCGAGACGTCGCTATCTTTCCAAGAGAAATAGCGATAACCTTCTCAGCGTCGTCGTCCATCACTATGTTCCCCGGGCGGACGATGTTCAATGGCCACGGGCGACGTGGTCACCGAAATTTCACGGGTTAATTTTACGCGCCGATACGACGACGGGAGCACGACACGTACACTACCGCCAGCCCAGGAGACAAACAAGAGACTAACCGTTAGGGGAAGTGGGCAGCCTTCCACAGCTTGCAAGCTGGAGGAAGTGACGTTGGAGATTGAGCAAGTCGGCCAATAGCGTGCTTTTCGTGTGACCTCCAGGAACCGTGCTGGGATTTTTCTCTCCAATGGCGACCGCGTGACGTCAACACTCGCCGGTGACGAGCGCATTTTTTTTTGTACGCGTATTTTCCATCGGTAGGGGGAAAGAACCTGCGGCGAAAGCGCAAATGATCGACAAAAAAAAAAAAAAAAAAAAGAGGCCCGTCTCGACGTGCTCGTTCGCCCCGTGCGCGTCAGTGACCGGAGCCGACCGGTGCCGCGATTGTTAGCGTCGTCTTTCCTTCTCGAGAAAAGGCGGTCGGCAGCCGCCGCGGATAATGCGCGCCCTTCTGTCTCGCACATATCGTGTCAGCTGTTGTAGTGGCTTGGGCGATCTGACTACTTCTTCGCATATGACGCAAAGAGCGACGACATTTGCCAGTGTTGTCTCAGTGTTGATACGGTCGATGCCCTTGATGATATGTGTCACTCGTTTGTTTTGTTACGCAGCTCGATTACCCGGCCGTGACAACTCAATTCGTGCGCCCGATAGCCAGACACTGGCCTCGTTTGGTCGTGTGGGTGATCGCTCGCTCATTGTTATGAACGGAAAGAACGACGTGTGCAGCCGTACGTGCTTTATGCGCAGTTAAATCCATCTGTGAGTCATCACGTGCGGTATCTGGTCGAGCATTTGTGTCTCTTGGTCGCTTTTGATTGCTGCGTATTCCTGTCCGAGCACGTCATTCCTGGCTTCCAGCACGCCGCAGTGTGTCATGTACGTCTTAAAAGTGAATCATTTCGGAGGCGAACCAAAGCCACTATCTACTTGGCATAAACCGAGAGTTCGTCAGTATGATTCAATTGGCATACCTGGCGTGAAATGATTGATGACAAATACATGTAGCGTTACATAAGCTATGCATTCTCTCTTTCGCGATGTTATAACCGGCAATGCAAAGAGACGGCCTGCGAGGAACGCAAGAGGTGTGCGCTGCAGGGAACGCGCATCGGCGTTGACGCTACATGCCGTCCTGTGAAAACACTTGACGAATAATATTGTAAGCAACTTGGGCGCCCTTAGAGGCACTCGCTTTCACTCAAGAAACACTTATCCCACCGTTTGAGTTTCTTAAGTGGAAGCATGCGAGTGTTTCCAATTAAGCTGCGCCGCTTATAAAGCTAGCCCAACCGCGAGTTTTAACAACGTTTGACGAAAAACGCGCGCACGGACCGCTACAAAAGGAGCTTTGGGTCTATTCGGTGGTCCTGTACTTTACTTTAGTTCGTGTGAAGATGCGCCTGCTTGCTTTGTCCGAACTGTAAATGTGTAAATAAAACGTTTGTACTTCATGTAAGAAGCGCCGCAGGAGTAAGCTTGCGTGCCAGCTTCACCTGGATCCCGAGTGGAAGCAGTTGACATGCACCGTTTGGATTTTGCACATTTTCACCTTATACAGTCGCGCACAATGTACGACATGTGGCGCACGCGATGTGAAGCCGTCGTTGCCATGCATGAAAAACGTGGCACTGTCATAAGAAACAGGGCCGCGGGTTTAATTATCCATCATTCCGATATTGGGGGATGTTACCAGAACGAGTGGTGTGTCGATGTCTGTATAGAGTACATCAGCATCGTGCTCTTGGGTATGACGTATCTGATGAACGTTCCCGCTACTTGGCGAAAATGAATTTGGTCAGCTGGAATATTTAAAAATATGCATGCCACATATACATGATGTATGTATTAGCCAACACCGAGTGATGAACATTGTGCTAGCGCATGATCGACAGGTGCGCACGTGTGCCAATTTTTGTTGTGGGTGGTATATTGACTCTGGATGTTAGCAAGCGGCCAGGTACGTTTCCTTATTATGACGCGCCCCTATATGCTAACGTTGGCTGGTGATGAACACTTCCATGTTCGATCATTATGGCTGACACAAACTGCAGTGATATATGTTACCTGTACCTAAGCGCAGGTACAGAGCCGATCTTGAATCGCATGCCCCGCCGCTTTGGTCTAGTGGCTAAGGTACTCGACCTGCAGGTCGCAGGTTCGGATCTCGACTGGGGCGGCTGCATTTTCGATGGAGGTGAAAATGTTGTAAGCTCGTGTGCTCAGATTTGGGTGCACGTAAAAGAACCCCAGGTGGTCGAAATTTCCGGAGCCCTTTACTACGGCGTCTCTCATACGATCATAAGGTGGTTTCGGGACGTTAAACCTCACATGTGAATCAATCTATTATCGATCTTGAATCACCACATCATGTCCGTGTCTACGCTCCCGAATGAAGAGCGCACATATCGCCACTTCATATCAGTAGTGGGAGACTGCATATGCATGCTCAGCTCACACCAGCCGGATATCTCCAAACAACGGGTCGTCGAGAAGATCCGCGAGTAAGGCGCCTGCCTAATGAGGAGTGACCCGTCGATCCTCTCCTAAATCAAAAACAAAGCTCATAAATTAACTGCCAGTAAGCCATACTATGTATACTACCACCATAGGTCGGCAAACAATATTGGAATTAACTCAGACTCACTCAAGATATATATCTTGCTCTGAGAGCTAGCTCGCTCAGTCCTGCACCTAATGAGATTTTTTGAGCCGGACTCAAACTCTGCCAAGGGAGGGGGTTCAATCTCTTCGAAAATTTTCCCTTTTGCTTGCCTATATTCTATACAGGATGCCCCAGCTTTCTTTAGCCAGCGTTTAAAAATATGCCGATGCACACAATTATAACGCGACCGAATGCATGTTGCTGACCGTCGCTTAGAGTTAGTCAGACTATTTTTTTTTGTGTTCTAAAATGTTGCATGGTTAATTATGTCTAATTAACTAACTTGTGAAGAAACGAAGATGGATAAAAAAATGTATGAGAAAATTGTAGATCGCTTTGCAAATTGTCTGATTAGACAGTTTTGAACTTTACATCTGTTAATTATTAATGTTTTTCTGCCAACTACAAATGCCCACGAAATACATAAAATACCCCGTGACAAACCAGCTGTGCCAGTGCGCACGATGATTCTAGTGCTCCCTAACGTTCCGCGTCCGAACGACCATAGCATTTGCCCAATTGTGTTGTCTCGACAGGGCCGCAATGATGGCTTCGCGATGAACACGTTTGGCTATCGGCCATAAAAGCGATAACCGCTATGACTGCTTATCGCCGTCATGAACCGGTGCGAGGGAAGCGTATCGTTCGTACGCAGAACGTTAGCGCCAGAATCACGGTGCACGTAGGCACGCCAATGGCCGGGTTTGTCGTCACACACACGCACACACACACACACACACATATATATATAATATAGTGGGAGTAATAATTCAATGGGCCAGTTAGTCCTCGTGAAGGTATGAGATATGGCACAACGGGAGCGTTGTCAACAAGGATAAATATATTTATTTCCCAACAGTTTCGGGAGGGGACCTCCCGAAACTGTTGTATATTAAACTGTTGTATATATATATATATATAATATATATATATATATATATATATATATATATATATATATATATATATATATATATATATATATATATATATATATATATATATATATATATATATATATATACAGAGCCAGATTTTTCTGAACGTGAACAAACATGTTTACACCTGAATGAACGTGGAGGTTATATACGGATGAACAAGAAAATCATAATTAATTGTCTGAGAAATTTTCGCCGTTAATAGAAAGAACTGAGTATCATAAGGAGCGAGTGCAAGTATATATATAACAAACTCAAACTCGTTCCGGCAGGCTATGGGCGCTTTCGCACTTCGTGCGTGTTCATTGGAACTCGTTTGGTATGCGATGAGAAGACTAACATAGTGAGACGCGACAAGTGCGGTAACACGAACCACAGAGCAATGGGCAGAGGAAGGCAAGGACAGGTCGTGAAGAAACATTACGTGGTTACGAAACCTTAATTACACGCGCTTAAATCACAAAGGTAAGTTCCATTTAACGTTCTGTTACAACGCACTTGTTTACCGCAAAAGTTTGACATTCACATTTTACCGGCAACGAACAATTTCGGAGAACACCTACCGCAGTTTTCGGCAGTGCGCGCCTCATGGTGCAGCGGAAGTCTATGTTTACGAAGTGGTGCGCCTTTGGCAGCTGGCGTTAGGATTGGTTTTAGTGCTCAAATATTGGGTTCTCCTCAAGTTCTGGTCACGCACTAAGGTCCGATGCTCACGTCTGATCCAATGTCGATGCAAACGGCTTCATGTCATCGGTCTAAAAGCTACGGCATTGATTGCCGATTTGTCCATGGTCTGTATGTCTGTCCATGGTCGCTAGCAGACGATTCCGCGACTGTGTAAAACAAAAATAGCAGACGATTCTAGAGTTGCCGGTGCATTTTTGTAGTGCCTCTAATATACTCCAGGCATTGTAAAAAATTGGTGCACAATCCAAGAAAATATACACAAAAAGCAAGCTTTCTCTTTGTAATGCATGTCTAAAAATATGGCCTTTGAGATTGTAAGCGTTTCAAGTTTTCCTGCCAATCTTTGTAGGTGCCGGGCAGTGAAAAAAAAAACAAAAAAAAAAAAACAAAATAAATTTATCTTTGTGCACTTACATTAAAAAAACTATCTACTTCAAAGCTTGTTGACAGAAACGTTTGAATCGTTTTTTGTAACTGAAAGCTCTAAATGAACCAACAGGAGAACCAACGGACTCGTCCACGCGTGATTTTCCGTGCTCTCGTGTCGGACCGATGCGGTTCGAAGTTGAGTTTGATCGTTCCGGTGGTTTTGAACGATGTCGGGTGATTCCCTTCTTGGTGTGCTGGCTTTGTGGCTGTGTTTCACGGCAGTATGTGGCGACAGGAGGGGATACATTCTCTATTGTCCCTGCATGGGTATGTTGTTGTCGGTTTGGTATTTGGCGCAAAGGTTGTCAAGTTGCGGGGCCTCGCTTTGTTCTCACCGGAGGAAATCGGGTGTCACGCGGTAACTTTTGATTATGGTTGCTCGTTTGCGCTAGTTGCCGAAACGAGCCGATCACTGGTTGAATAAGCGTATCCCCCGTCGGGCGTAATCGCGATTAGCAGTGCCGATGTGGTTTACACCCATCACAGCTGCGGCGCGCTAGTTCCCTTGGTACCTTAGCCTGACGTTGTCTTTTGCGTCCAAGTGGAGTCGGACAGTCAGCTCAGCTGCAACAGCTGTTTTTATCAAACCTTGAGCAGCCGTTGAGCTTTGCTGAACATCATTCCTCGTTAATGCATCACGGTGTGGGTAGAGAAAGAAATAGGGATGCATTTTATTATTGTGACAGTTTGGTCAGAGTGTCTGACAATGCTGTATTTACAGTGATGGTTTGTCTAAGTGTACGGCAATGTGAACAAAATGCCCGTGCCTTTGCTGCCGTATTTGACAATACGGAGGCGAAGGACTCCGTCAAGTCATCTTTGGATGGCTTTTCCTTTCCCGTGTGCCTTCCATCACATGTGATGCGATTTATTTCAAGCACTGCATGCGTGAAATAAATCAAGTAGTTTTCAGCTTGAATTTCTGTCGATGCAGTTATGCGTGGATGTAGCCTCGTATATTTATGTATTAAAGGGGCGGGAGAGTTTTGTTGTGCTTGCTTGTGTCAATTTAGTGCTTTACAGGTGTCACACGGCGCAGTTTAGATGGGCAGCGAGTTTATTGATCACGATAGGCCTATGTGCTCAAGATTCGATCTAAAGTGCCCGTGTCACAACACTTTTGAATGATGCGGAATGACAACGTTAGTAGCGTGGATGAGAAGAGCTGACATTTGGGCGAGTTGGATGTGGTTCAACATGTTGAGTGGATTCAGTGCTATACAACTGTGACATAGGTAAAGGAGGAACTGGAACACCAGCGCCGGTGTTCATGTCCCTTCTTTACCTTTGTGCTCGTGTTGAGTTGAATACACTCAATGCATTTAGCATGAATGAGTACGAACAAAGGGATTGCAGTTTATATCCTTGATGTTTCTGTGCACAGAAACTATGGCATTCTCGTAGCCAGCTATTTGCAGGCAAGTTATCGTAGTATACAGGATGCTGCCGTAAGCCACAACATTTGAAGGATATTTTGCAATAGGGCCTAGCGCAATTTCTCATTCTTTCATGGCTTGAAAAGCAACAAAAACATGTCATATTCAACCCCTCACAATGCTTTGTCAATGAAGTCCAGCAACACAACTCTCATTGGCTCAAGGTTTGCAAAACGGGCAGATCAGTAGAAGTGCATGAGAAATAATTTTGTGAGGAATGTTTCTTGACAGACTGTGTTTCCTCATTATATAGATGTCTGAATAGCCCAAAGACACTGTATTCAGTTATTTTGCTTAAAAGCATAGAGACACTGCTTCCTTTTAGTGATGATCATACAAGGGGTTTTATGGTGCAACGAAGGCCACACAACACGTTGTTGTTGATGGGGTTTTCTTTAAGCTTGGGTGGCAACAGGTGAACTTGACAAACAATTAACGACTGCTGATGTAATGAAGAATGCAAGCTGGAGACAGCACTGAGGAGCGATCAAACAAGAGTAGTCTATTTTTGCAGGGGCGGTGCCAGGATTTTTTTACTAAGTGGGGGGGGGCACCCACGACAAGCGAGTTCCTTTAGGGGGCAGGGAGGCTGGGAACATACGCGTTTTGTTTTGACTACGCTTGCTCTTAGGGGGGAAAGGAGAGGGGGAGGGGCAGGCATAAATGTTGAGGGGGGGGGGGGGGGGGGGCTCCAGTTTACTCATACCCAAACTGGCACTCAAATTTGCAGATGGAATTGGTGAAGACAGGTTTGAGATTGGGCTCATTGTTCTCTTCCTTGTCCGTAGTCTGCTACTGTGCTGTTTGCTGAAGACTGAAATGGTGGGCAGGGGATGTAGGGGGGGGGGGGGGGGTGGGGGGGGCACTCTGCACAACCATTGCCAAATGAAGTATTTTGAAGGTCATCTTTCTTCGACTTGGTGCCTTTCCTTCTCTCTGTGGTACACTGGTGATGACCTATCGAGGTTGGTGTCTGACAAAGGTGCATAAGAGTGGAAAAAAAGAAGACACCAATTGAAGGGATGGTCTTTAACTTGCTCCATAATTGTGTCAACGTGAAGAAGGTCTGGAAAGTCTCCTTAATAAATGTGGTTCATTGGTACTTCTCTCAAAGCTCGCATCCATGTTGCCTTCAGATTGTAGAGGATTTCTTGTTATATCTTCAGAAAGTGCTGTAGTGTATGGATAACACATGGATGAAGAAGCCAAACAGCTGTATAGGCACAGTGAAAGGGCTAGTGTAGTTTCACCCTTGCAAGGCGGAATGGCCGGCCACAATTGGGTTGGCTCTATAGACACATCTAGAATAGTGAAACAGTGCCAAATGGCAGGAAGCAACAAACCTATGAAGCTTAGCACATTTTCCAAATTCTACGTGTCATGTAAACTCAATACACAATCTGAATGATAAGCCATTTGAAAACATGGCTTGCCCAAAGGATTATGTGCTAGAATCAGTTAAATGCAGTATAGGGGATGCAGATAACTAGTAAATGTTAGTTAGTTTATTTATTCAATAAATAAAATTTTTATGCGTTTGTGTGCACGTGTTGTGTTTCCAAGAGCTCATCTATACTTTGAGAAGTTCAATGTGTAAAGCATGTATGTAGTAGAGGAAAAAAAAATACATTCTCCCTTTGCGCTTGTGTGTCCTGGTGCTAAATTTTCAGAACCTGAATCCTGGCTACACCAGTCAACCTTTCCCATTCTTGGCTGTCTTGTTGTGCTTTTTCATTCACATCTGTTATACACAACCTAATTGAGCCCCGCCGCGGTGGTCTAGTGGCTAAGGTACTCGGCTGCTGATCCGCAGGTTGCGGGTTCAAATCCCGGCTGCGGTGGCTGCATTTCTGATGGAGGCGGAAATGTTGTAGGCCCGTGTGCTCAGATTTGGGTGCACGTTAAAGAACCCCAGGTGGTCGAAATTTCCGGAGCCCTTCACTACGGCGTCTCTCATAATCATATGGTGGTTTTGGGACGTTAAACTCCACAAATCAAACAACATAATTGAGCCAGCAGACAGGACAGCCAAGAAAGGTGTGGCAGACATTATGTCTAGTTTTTCATTTGCAGTTTAGTAACAGTTAAAGGGACTGTCTACCGCTTGGAAAAATTTTTTTGATTGTGGCGCAAATGAGAAGATCATTCATCGAATATGCGGGCACCGAGCGTGCTTTTGTTTCATAAAAAAGGAATAATTTTAACTTTATGTTAAAAGTCGACAAAAAATTACTGCTAGCGTCACCCAATAGCAATGTGGTCAATCTACTCATAGGACAAATATCCTCTCAGGTAGACTTATCTTGCTTAAAAGCAAACATAACCTGGAACTATTTTACACACTTGAGGCAGCTTTAGGCTGCACCAGAAGGTAAATTTTGCTTTTTTTTTTTACGTGTTCAAAAAGGCACCTAGTGGCATTACCGGTGGTGTGTTCGCTTGCCTGCATGCCTGCCCGCAAACGGCGGAGAAACGCAAGAACGGCGTCGGCTGCATGTAATAAGAACAACAAAAGTGTGTGCGTGCCTTAAACAACCACTAAGGTATTTGTTTTTTTAATAATAAACAAAACTTGATGAAGCCTACAAAAACTGCCCGCAGTTTCAGTTTTTGGCTTTCACTGGCAGTAAAGTTGTCACCACCTCCACCTACCAGTACTGTGATCATTCATGCCACTGATAAAAGGAGACCAAATGCAGATCGAAAAATTGTTTTGAAAATTTTTATGCACTTTCCAGAGAAACCGCTGCGAGGTTATAGGCTTCAGATTGTGTGCTTTTTATTGCGACACAAAACAGAAAATTGGTGAACGATGATAGGCACTCCCTTTAACAGGGTGCGTACAGGTCCTTGAAAACCTTGAAAACTATTGCATTTGCAAAATGCATTTTCAAGGCCCTTGAAAGTCCTGGAATTTTTTGCCATCCTTGAAAATCCTTGAATTTCGGGAGTAGTGCATTCTCATATCGACATTGCAACCTCTTAAACAGGGTAGATCGGTGTGTCAACCTGTCAAACTCTCCGTTTTTGAATCAGTGATGCGGCATCGGCGCACATGGTCCCATTTTGCAAAAATGCATGTGAAAATTCAAAGTTAACTTTGTGGCGAGGGTGAAGCAGTGAATGCGATAGCAAGAAATTAGAAAGTCACACGAAGAAGGGCGAGCAACTTTATACATGCAACGTACAGCTCAAGCACAAAGGACGCACGAAAGGAAAGCGCACAAGACGAGTGCTGATGTTGCAGCTCGACTATGGAAGCGTGCTGCTTAAACACCTAGGAAGATGCTAGAAAGAACACATGTGTTGTATCCACAGGATGAGTGTAAATTAACCACTGTCACATGTGTTACTTCTTAGTTGTTGAGCATCATTACTTCTTGGTTGTTGAGCAATTTTAAGTCACTCCGTAAGTGTGCCTAAATGCTCATTCACTTAATCGACGCCCATCAGGAGCTCGTCCAACACTGATGTAGCTCTATAAAAAGGGCAAAAAAAGTTGTAGTGACGTCACGCCAGATTTGTAGTGAGGTGAATGACCTCCGGACTTCTGCCACATAGGTACCGGCAAAGCATCGCGGCTGCTGCAGCTAGCAGCGGGTTTGTTTTTACTGGTGCTTGTGTGGCTCATGTGCAAAAGCAGACGACACTCAGCATGGCGCGTGTAAGAGCTTTGTGTGATCATGTGACTTAGTCATCTACACTGCTATGTACCTGACCAACTCGGTGTCCACAAACAGGAACTGAAAATTGTTCATATCGATGAGGCGATAAATAATTTATCGAGAATGAATTAATCTTGGAGCGTGTATTGTGCTTGTTGGGGCTGTA